CCCATCCTCCAGCGCTTCCCCACCCCCCTTCATTGGAGGCGCTTTCTTCCGCTTCGGCTCCCCATGCGCCGCAAGCGAAGGTGCCGCGCGCTTCGGCGAGGCTTTGCTGGCAAAGTTCCTCAGCTTCGCGTTGCGCCAACTCCTCTTCTTGCTCCACGGTGAGTTTCGCCGCGGGGTCGAGTCGATGAGGATACACCTTTTGAAACTCCTCGAGAGTGTAGGGGCGCGGGACTCCTCGTGAGTCCAGGCTTCCGCGGCGTTGTCCGCGCAGAATGCTGAGTGTCGAGCCGTTGGGAGGGAGGTCCAGCGTGGGGGCTTTGGTCGGTGCCGAACACGCGGCGAGTAGTCTCCTCGACCTCGAGCTGCGACATCCCTTCTTCTGGTGGCGCGTGGCGCTCTGCTTCAGCGATGGCGGCGAGTCCGCGGCCTGCGATCGCGCTCGTTGATGTCGTCGGCGTGTGGCAGTCCCTGCAGAACCCTAAACCCGGGATCGGGGTTGTGAAGCGCCGTTTCGCGTGGGTGGGGATGATGTGGCACCCACGGCCTGCCGTCAGGGTGCTTCCAATCCCTGCGGTGGATATGCTCAAAGCGCAGTGGCACGAGGTCAATCAGCTCGTGCGAATCGCCGCTGCAGTCGGGAATGTCGAAGTCTAAGACGTACACTCCATTTTCGGAGTGTGCTCGTCCGATCTGCCTGCGGGGGAAGTTGCGCGCCTCATAGTGCAGCAGGATGTCTCGCGTCGCGCGGTCCGTGCTGAGGTCGACGCCGCAGTCCATGAGCTGTGCGGCGGACAGGAGGTTGAAGCGCAGGTTCTGGACGATCAGCACATCGTTAAGCGTGATGTGCGTGCGGCTCCCGCGTGCTTTGAGCACGACGATGCCTTGCGCGCTTGCGCGCAGGCGTGTGTTGTTCGCCACGGTGACGTAGGTGACGGCAGGGGTGGGGACGGCGTTGGATATGTAACGCTCGGAGCCCACCATATGCTGGCCGCAGCAGCTGTCCAGGTACCAGGTGTTGTAGCGCTTGTTGTCGTCACGTGCGAGCAGCGCCAGTCGCGGCGTGACGATGTGCGGAGTGTCGAACTTCAAAAATTGTTCGCGCGAGAGCCAGTCAAGTGGCGCCACCCGCATATCAGGTACGTGCGGGGGACTTTCAAGCAGCGGAACTGGAAGATTCCAGTCTTGGTCGTCGTCGTCGGTGAAATCGTGGCGCGGGCTAAACGGGTTGTTGTTGGTGAACGCGCCAATCGGGTGCGGTGCCGGCTCAGGTGACGGTGAGCGAACGCGGCGACGACGCGATTCGCCTGTCATGGCCATGCTGCTCATGACGTTGCGAACTGGGGCAGTCGATGACGGCTGCTGCTGCTGATGCTGAACCGCTGGGTTCAGGTTGCGCGCGGGAGGGGGCTGATACCCCTGGGCTGGACGCACGTCGCCTCGTGCGTCTTGACGGCCGGACCAGGTGCTCGGATTGGTCTGGCGAGGGCGTGATCGGTTCTTGCATCGATCCGCCAGATGCCCGAAATTTCTGCAGATTTTGCAGTAGAGGCGCCGTGGCTTTCGCTCTTCAGTGTTGTCGGCGTAGAAGGCGAGCCGTTCGCGTTCTCGTCGCGGCGCTGGTCGCTGCTGATCCATATCCCTCTGTTCGACGAGAAGGGCGGCGCAAAGGGCGGCCTCCGAGATGACCCCCTGCTGTCGGAGAAGCGCCTTGCAGGGCCGCCACTCTGGGTCGAGCCCTTGAAGCACAATGTTGACGAAGATTTCTTCTGAAATCGTGCTTCCCAACTTCACGATTTGATCGCGAAGGCTCCGACAACGGTTAAGGTAATTGTTGACCTTCTCCCCCGCGGTCATCTTGGTTTCCAGGAGTTCCTGGAGTAGTCGGCTCGAAGAGACAGAGTCCTTGGGCTGGTAGACTCCTGTCAGGTGTCAGGTAATTGTTGACCCCCGTAAGGGCTGGAGCAGCTGTAGTCTTGTATGAACGAATGTTGAGCTGCTCCGCCGCCGACATATTCCGCAGGAGCACCCCGTACGCCATCAGCGACTCGTTGTAATACCGCGCCTTGGCGTCGTCGGTGTCCTCAGCAGGCTCCGCGTAGCTCCCGTCAAAATAGTGGAAGATCTGGGCGTTCTGAAGCAAGAGCTTTAGCTCGAAGCTCCAGGTGTAAAAGTCTCTGCCGTCAAAACAGGTACTTGTCTTTATTTTTGATATGCTGAGAAACCTTGATTGAGCGGAGAGAATTGCCTCTTCACTGGGACGGGGAGTCTTGGGGGTTGAGCCATTGGTGTCGAGGGAGAAAGTTTGCGGGGTGGCGTTCTGGCCAGTCGGGGCCGGTTGAGATGGTTGCGAGGATGTTCCCGCATCGCCATTCCGCAATGTTTGGAGCCCTTGCTCCAAGCTGGTGAGTCGCTGAAGAAGTTGTGCGACAGCTTCGGAGTTGATTGTCGTCGTGTTCTCGCTTGTCGCAGCCGGATTGGGTTGCGCTTCAGCCGTCAGATTAGTCTGACCACCAGATCCTCCGGCCATCTTCACTCGTGAGCGTGTGCCGGACGCCACTTTCTGAATGTCGCAATGTTCGGGAGTGGCAGTGCGAAGGATTCCTGAGCCGCTCTCATACCATGCTGCGATCAGAAATTGATCGTAGCCCGGGATCTGCCCAGGAAGGTTTCGCACGTAGTGAAATAGTTGGTGGGCCCTTGACCTCAATAGCAGAGTGAATGTAAATGCTTGAGATGATAAAAACATGCAAACAAAATGATATAAATAAGAGTACAAGGGAATACGAAACGACCTAACTAGCCATGTACTCTAAGGGGTACATTCCCTTATTCAAATTCATTCCCAACCGTGCGGCGCGTACAGTTTCGTAACTGTTCCCGCCAAAAACATCACCTTGCCTGAAGCTGCCCGATGCCGTCTGCTTCCGACGGTCCAGATGCGTCCCAACTGTCCGACGCTTCGAGTCAATTCTAACCGTCTGACGCTTCGCGTTCATTCTCGTTACTGCGTGCTTCTCTTTGCTGCGGTGAGGAGTGCACAGTAATATCAACTATTACTATTCGTAACAATAGCCTTTCACGCGCTTATCAGAGAAGGTTCTAGGGTGGTCGGTTCACTGTAGCCCATCCCCCTCGCCCCCTTTTTTTATGCCTGCCAAACCCGGCCTACGTGACTATTTGCGCTTGTCAAACGCACCGCCGTACGTCTTGGCATCTGCTTCGGCCCTACCTTGGGCCGGGTTTGGCAGGCATTATGGCCATTATGGCCATAATGGGTATTTTTAACGGGCCCCCAAAAAATGCCGCCTGGGCATTTCACGAAACAGCTTCGAAGTCAAATCGTAGCTGCAGAGCACATTCGGAAAAAAAGGGGTTGAGTGTTTGGTTGGCATTATTTGGGTGTAGATTGATGGCATCAATCGACATTTAGGGTTTCGCAGAAGATGGGAGGCAGTTGCTATGATCGATCGCGTGATCATGTGATTGGCTGGCATATTTGACCAGTCACTTTTAATTGCCCCGAATCACTGATACCCCGCATGGTGCGGGGCCTCGAGGCCGCATGGTGCGGGGGATCGGAAAATGGGCACTTTGCCAGAGAAAATGGGTTGGGTGTAGATTCCGGCGGTTGAAAACGCCTCCAAAAAAAGGGGTGTTTGGTTGGCATTCCATTATTGTTAGGTTCGGCGTAGTCCGCTTATATCGAGCCTTGATAGCCTTTCACGCGCTTATCAGAGAAGGTTCCAGGGTGGTCGGTTCACTGTAGCCCATCCCCCTCGCCCCCCTTTTTTATGCCTGCCAAACCCGGCCTTGGTTACACCGTTGGCGGATGGAAGGCGTATCGGCATCTGCTCGGCCCCCACATTGCGAAGACGTCCCTCTCCAATCGAATCGCTCACCGGCAGTAACTGTACACAACACAGAGGGAGGGGCACAGTGCTGTCCCGCTTGATTGCCTGTTGATGGATTTTGATCTCAGCTGCCCAAATTCCTTCAGCGCAGGTGCTGTTACAGATTCCATAATTTCAGAACGCAGTTTTGTGTACAGTCGATGCTCAGCCTATCACAAAAATTTGTTCACACAATTAGAGAATCAGTCACTCGCGAACGTTTTTCCTGTGAGTGGTGATTGTGCTGATTTCGGGGTACAGTCACCAAGTCGAGGAAGAAAAACATCTACAGTTCATAAACAACAACGGCTGCCTGTCATCAGAATTGTTTACCTGGTTACGAACTTAAACCCTTGTACTCGTTTTGCATTCCGATTTCATTTTACAATCACATTTTTGCCCGTGGCGACAAGGGCGAATGTGGCGAATGCTTTAAACTCGTTTCACTCACATGCCGCCCGCCTACCTGGTGTTCTTGAAATGAGCACCGACCGTACATTGTGCTGGGGGCAACGGATATTGCCTGCAACCGTTTTTTTACACATCTGACCTCGTGGTGATACGTGCTGTAACAACTGCTTGTGGAGGCAGGACAGACAGGACAAAACCCTTGCCTCTCCCCAACCACAGTTCTGACTGGCTGGCTGGCAGCCTATTCCTGCCTGATTTTCTATTGCTCGCAAGCACCGAAGGTCCGCACCGAAGGTGGGATTTTCCAGCCAATAGATGTCAGCTTCGTGCTGTTTTGGTTGGTGGTGGTCTCCTGTCAAACCACACTCACTTCTTGGTTCGTAAGGGCAGGTCCAGCCCAACAATGCAAGCATTCGCAGAAGCACCACTCAACCATCTGTTGTTTAGTTTGTACCGTTCTGAAATAAATTAAAACCTGTTTAAACCGCATTAGGACGTACTCTTTGGAACCCGCCCAAGGTCGGATGCTTGCTGATTGAGTCCCGTTTAGGTCAGTTGCACCTCAAATACCAACACGATACACGACGGATAGGCGTGGAAGCTAGGTTAGCTCATTGCTCCATAACTTAATATGTAAGCCCATTAGGACGGTCCCAAGGAGGCGAGACCGCCATGGACGCTGACGTCAGCGTAGATGACATGAGCGATGACGCGAGCCGGGGGCCCTATAGCGACTCCTACGCCAGCGATCACGGCGACGATCACAGCGGCGATCACGGCGACCGTCGCGGCTGGAAATCTGGTACTGGCTGGCGCAGAGCAGCCGCGTGGAAGTCTCTAGTTTCCGGAGCGCGGCGGTTGGTGACGGGCAGAAGGCGGAGGCGCGACGATGCCGGTAGCGAGGGCGACAATAGCGAGTACTACTCAGACCGGACGTATTCTGATGAGGAGCTGTCGATAGCGGAAGGCAGCGTAGCGCAGTCCGCTGTTTCTTTCAGTCGAGCCTCCACCAGGTACAACCCGCGACGCAAAGCACACACGTTCACATCACGCACATACGTCAACGCTGAAAAGTCGACTTCAAGACGGGGGTGCCGATTAACCTGCCCTTTGGTTCGGGTGATGCTTTGCCGAGCGTCCCGCCCGCTCGTAGTTGCGTATTGTGAGTCAACTCGAGAGCCGAAACAAACCTTTTCCATGCGTCCCTTCCGTTTCCGAAAACGTTTCCTGCCGGCGTTTCCTGCCGGCGTTTCCTGTTTCGGTCCCACTCATCCCATGAATCTCATGCATCCCATGCATTTTCAGCCGATTCGACTGCCCTAATTCTGCTCTCCACGCCTCGCCTTTTTTCTTGTCCGCCGTGTTGCCCTCCCCGTACGCTCTCCCCGGATTCCACCATTTTCCCGTTCCGCCCACGGTGTTCCGCCTACCCTTTTCCGCCCGGTCGACTCAAACCTTTCTTCCCCTTCTCTGCACCACCAATTCCCGCTCCGCCGCTGTTCCCGCTTCTTCTCGCAGCGCATGGTGGGCGCAAACGGACAATTACAGCAACCCCTACCGCCGCCGCTCCGCCCACGCGCAGCACTACCCGCACCAGGGGGAAGGCGGAGGGCACGGGCAGGGGTACGGGCGCGGAAGCAGCGCGGGCAAGGGCGGGAAACGGGTCGCGCTCGATGACGTGTTAGTGGACCTTTCGAGCCAGCTGCAGGGGTCGCAGGGGGGGCCCGCGGAGGGGAGTGTGGCGGAGGGGGAGGGGGAATGGGAGGAGGGCGCGGGGGAGATGCCCGGGCCGTGGTTCTGGCCGTCGTGGTGCCCCTGCCCGCGCGTGCGCAACCCCATTCTCGTCTACCGTCTTGCAGCCATGGTGCGGGGGAGGGGGAAAGGGGAAGGGAATCGAGAGGACGATAAGCGGATTGAATGCCGCATGGAGTGTAATGTTATGTGTGTGTGCGTGTGTACGCGCAAGCGCACCTGAACACACAGCTTTGCCTGTGCGTGTGATGTATGGAGGAAAGTTATGGGGGAAGGAGTGGGGCTTGGGGGACTTTTGAGGCGCTTCATGAAAAGGGGAGGGTGAGGGAGAGAGGAAAAGAAGTATGTACTCAAAAGCACCAGCTGAGACGGGTAGATCTCGCCGTTGGGTCGATTCTGCATTAATGGAAGGCACTTTGGATGGCATTTCATGGTGTGGGAAGGTCCTGAGGCTGATTTTCCTCCTGGCCTCCTTTTCCTTCCTTCCTTCCTTCCTTTTCTCCAATCCATTCCTCTCTTCTTCCCTTTAGCCCCTCTTCTTCTCTTCATTTTTGGTTCCTCCCCCTGCCTCCTCCTCACGTTCCATCCCATCTCCTGCCTGACTCTTTGCGCATGTGGTGCTGGTGGCAATTGAGCATGGCTCTGTTTCCTGTCATGTGAGCATGGTGGCCGTACGTGCATGGCTTGGGTGTGTACACTTCATGCATGGGTGTGCTGCATACGTGCATGGTTTCATGGGGTCATGGGTCTGCATGGGTGCATGTCTGCATGGGTGCATGGGTGCAAGGGTGCATTACATCTCTGCATGTGTGCATGTGTGCATGTCTGCATCTGCATGCATGTATGCAGCTGCTAGTGGCAGTGATCATCTTTCTCCTCACCTTCTTCACATGGCTCCTCACAAGCTCCTACTACAACAACTCAGTACAGGTGTGATTATGTGAGAGAGAGCGAGGGAGAGCGAGAAAAGTAGAGAGGGAGAGTGTGTGCGGAAAGATAGTGAGGGAGAAGCAAGTGCGTGTGTGCTAGAGAGTGTGTGAGCAAGAAACAGGACCAGGAGGCCCCCTTCCTTCAGAGGCAACAAGTAATCCCACCCAATCACCTTCTCCCCGGCCTTTCCTTCAGACCCTGACAATGAACTACTGCAAGCAGCTGCTGATGTGCACGCAGGAGCACTGGGCATTCTCAAACGCAATCGCTCCCTCCTCTTCCCCTCTTGCTCTCTTCCCCCCTTCCCCTTCCCTTCCCCCCCACCCACCAGACTCTGACAATGAACTACCGCAAGCAGCTGCTGATGCGCACGCAGGAGCGCGTGGGGAGCATAGTGGAGGGCACGCGCAACGTGTCTCTCACGTACGCTGCCGTGCTGCAGGCGGGCCTGGAGGCGCAGGAGAGAACACAGGGCACGGTGCACGAGGGACATGTGGACCTCGACTGGAGTTTAGTCAACACCACTGTATGGAGCAGGGGGGAGAGGGGGGGGGGGAGGAGAGGGAGGGAGAGGGGGGGAGAGGGGGGGATGCATAAGGGGGAGCGGAATGGTGGGGATGAGGCGCGTGTGAGGATTTGAGGTGTTTCGAAAAGGGCTTTGTGAGGCGGCTGAAAGGCTGTGCTGCAGGCGGGCCTGGAGGCACAGGAGAGGGCGGCGCATGGCACGGTGCAAGAGGGACATGTGGACATTGACTGGAGGAGCCTTGTGGAGCTTAGTCAACACCCCTCTTTCGCCCATCTCCGCCCCTTCCCACCTCTCTCCGCCCCTCCCTGCGCCCGCAGGTGCGGGAGATAACATGGGCAGTGTATGCATCGAACGAGGCGCGGGTGTCATCAGTGTTCTTTGGGTCGGTGAATGGGCTCTTCATGAGCTACGCCTCCACCGCAGTGCAGCGCTTCTGCATCTACAGCACCCACCCCCACCACCACATCATTCCTCCACCCCTTCCAACTGCTCCCCACTGGTGCGGGAGATGACTGTGTGGCACCTCAACATCTCTCCAACCCCCACGTCCGCCCCTCCCCACCCCTGCCAACCCCTCCCCACCCTTCCCCATCCTCCCTGCGCCTGCAGGTGCGGGAGATAACATGGGCAGTGTATGCATCGAACGAGGCGCGGGTATCGTCGGTGTTCTTTGGGTCGGTGAATGGGCTCTTCATGAGCTACGCCTCCACCGCAGTGCAACGCTTCTGCATCTACAGCACCCATCCGCACCACCACATCTCGCTCACCAAGGCACAGAACTTCACCTCCCAGGTGAGAGCTGTGGGGGGAGAGGTTGGGGATGCAGGGATATGGGATGGGGGATGCAGGGGGGTGGGGAAGGTGGGGACTGGGGGGAGGTGGGGGGTGCATCTACAGCACCCACCCCCACCACCACGTCTCGCTCATCAAGGCGCAGAACTTCATCTCGCAGGTGGGCGGGAGGTGTGGGGGGAGGTGGAGGAATGCAGCCTGCAGGGATATGAGGGGTGCAGGGGGCTGGGGAAGGTGGGGGCTGGGGAAGGTGGGGGCTGGGGAAGGTGGGGGCTGGGGAAGGTGGGGGCTGGGGAAGGTGGGGGCTGGGGAAGGTGGGGGCTGGGGAAGGTGGGGGCTGGGGAAGGTGGGGGCTGGGGAAGGTGAGGGCTGGGGAAGGTGGGGGCTGGGGAAGGTGGGGGCTGGGGGAGGTGGAGGCTGGGGGGATGGGGGGTTGCATCTACAGCACCCACCCCCATCACCACGTCTCGCTCACCAAGGCACAGAACTTTACCTCTCAGGTGGGGGTTAGGGGTGCTGGGAGGTGCTGGGAGGTGCTGAGAGGTCCTGCTGGGTGGTGCTTTGAGGTGGACGGTGCAGAAGAGGTGGAAAATTCACAGCACGGGTGTGTGAATCGAGACCAAGGTGGGGCACTTGCTGCTCTTGCCCTTGCTCCGCCCTCTCCCATCTCCTTTCCCGTGTGCAATCTGTCTGCTAAGGGTACATTCTGGGCACTGGGCAAACCTCTGGGAAATCCTCTGGTCAACACTGTAGAAAGCCTTACAATTAGCACAATTGGTAAGAAATAGGCATGATTTCGGTTGACCATAGGTTTGACCAGAGGTTCTGACCAGTGCCCCCAATGTACCCTAAGGCAATCAGCAGTTGCTCTATTGTTGGAGCTTCGAACTGTGTGGCTACAACAAGCTCTGTGCTTAACTGCTGCTTTTGTCAAAAATCCCTAATTCTGCCTCTTCCTCGTCCCTGCCCCTACCCCTGCCCATGCGCGTGCCGCTTCCCCTCTGTTCTGCTCCTTGCGCCCCCGGTGCCACTTGTCAGCCTGTGATTGGCCCAACAGCACTATCTCTGAGCAACACCACCTACAGTCTCAACGGCACTGCAGTCACGGACGTGTGGCCGACCTCACCGCCTCCTGCACACCAGGTGAGTGAGTGAGTGAGTGAGTGAGTGAGTGAGTGAGACTCTCACCGCCCTTGACACGTCTCAGATCTCAAACATGAATGCCCTGTCCCTTAACATACAGTCTCAACGGCACTGCAGTCACGGACGTGTGGCCGACCTCACCCCCTCCCGCTCACCAGGTGAGTGAGTGACACTCTTACTCACCCTGCTCTTGTAAGTAGAGTGTCAAAATTCAAGAGCTCTTGTATTGTCCCTGAACGGTGCTGCACTGCAGTGTGTACAGCATGAACGGCAGCACTACGCTCGCATTCAGTCTCAATGGGTGCACATGCGCATGTGCACATGCGCATGTGCACATGCAAACATACACATACACACACGGGACATGCACGCACATGATCTACCTTACCTTACTCACCTTCCCACTGCCCCTCCTCCTGCCCTCGCTGCCCCCGCTGCCCGCCCTTCCCTCCCTACCACATATCCAAAACTCTTGCACCCACACAACACAAGAAGTGGTAAAAACACACCGACGACTCCCACCCATCATCTTTGAAACGTGCTATAAGCTGTTTCCTCTCCGACTCCTTTTCCCCTCCCGCATCCCAGGTGGAGTGGGCGGTGGCACAAGTAACCAACGACACCCCCCCGCCCATGATCTTTGCCTTTGCAACCGTCGCCCCCAGCACCCTGCTGCCTTTAGGGTCAACTCAAAAGACTCCTTCCCCCCCTCTTCCCCGCCTCCCCTCCCTTCCCCCCCTCTCCTCTCCCGCATCCCAGGTGGAGTGGGCGGTGGCGCAAGTAACCAATGACACCCCGCCCATGATCTTTGCCTTTGCTACCGTCGCTCCCAGCACCCTGCTGCTCGCCGCCATCTCCTCCACCTCCTCTCCCCCGGGGGCCGTCGCCCCCATAGGGGGAGTGCAACTCCAGGGGGGGGAGACAGGGCAGGGCGGGGAGGGGGCGGTGACGCCTGGGGCGGGCTCGCTGGGGTATGCGGGGATAGCGGGTGTGGCTCAGCCTCTGGAGGGGGTTCACCGGTTTATTGAGCAGCTGGATCTGCTGGATGGGCTGCTCTATGTCGTGTGGTGAGTGGGCGAATGCGAGTGGTGTGTGTGTGGTGTGTTGGTGAGTGTGTGGTGTGTTGGTGAGCGTGGTGTGTGTGTGGTGTGTGTGTGTGTGTGTGTGTGTGGTGTGTGTGTGTGTGTGTGTGTGTGTGTGTTGGTGTGTGTGTGGTGTGTTGGTGAGTGCTGCTCTGTGTTGCGAAACACGCAATTCTCAGGCTGAACAGCAGCAACACGCGCGCGTGATTGCCTCCTCGGCCACCAACAGCTCTCTCTACTCCAGCCCCATGTGCATCCCCCCTACCACTCCCCTCCCCTCCCCGACCCCCCACCTTCTCCCTCTCCTCAGGTTCAATGGCAGTGATGCCCGCGTGATTGCCTCCTCTGCCGCCAACAGCTCCCTCTACTCCAGCCCCTCACAGTCCACCAACGCCCTCCTCGCCATGGCCGCACGCTTCCTGGAAGCGTCCTTCTCCATGCAGGACCTGCTGCGCGCGTGCACGTTCTCGGACCGCGTCAGCGGCAATCCCGAGGCGCCCGACAGCCAGTACTATGTCGACAGCTGTCCGCTCTCCTCGCCCCTGTTTGATGACCTTCAGCTGGTGAGAGGGGGGACGGAGGGGGAGAAAGGAGGGTGGGGGAGTAAGGAAGGGGGAAAGGGGGGAAACTAGGGAAGGGGGAAAAGGTTGGAGATGTGGGTGGTTGAAAGTGAATGACATTGACACCTCCCAGCACAGCGGGACTATAGCAGCAAGTCAAACCAAGTTGGCTCTTAAACATCTGCCCCCACCCCTCTGCCGTCCACCCCTCTGCCGTCCACCCCTCTGCCCCCACCCCACTGCCCACCCCACTGAACATCTGCCCTGCCCTCCACCCCGTTGGCACTGCACTGCACCTTGCCCTTTGCCCTTTACCCTTTGCCCTCTCCTTGCCAGGTGGTGGTGGCGGTGATACCGCGGCGCAGCATCATGGGGGCGATAGAGACGGGCAGCACGGTGACGGTGTGGTCGTGCTTTGCCATGTCGCTGGGGCTGCTGCTCGCCGGCTGCCTGCTCATCCTCAAGATGACCTCGCGCATCAACGTCGAGTGGGAACTCAAGCAGGTGGGTGCGGTGCGGTGCAGTGTGGTGCAGTGGGCAGTGCGGTGGTGCTGTGCTGCCCCATGCCGCTGGCGTGCGTGCGGCATAAGTAAGCTCATGGAGTTCTCTCTCTTTTCTCGGTCTAGTAGGGTAACTCATGCGTGGGAAGGGAGAGTGTGGAATAGAAGAGGCCAATTGTTGCTAGCCTTAAGAAGTCAAAACCCAAGTTTCTTGCCCTGGGCCTGTGTCCTGGACTAGATACATGTGCCCTCTTCACTTCCATCTCTCCCACCCATGCCCCTCTCTCTCATTCCTGCGCCATCCCTGTCCCGCCGTTCCCTTCCTCCACTCCTCCCGTTTTTCCCCCTTTCTCAGGAGCTCATTCAGCAGCTAACAGCCAGCTAACAGCCAGCTAACAGCCAGCTAACAGCCACCTAACAGCCAAGGACCGTGCAGAGTTTACAAATGTCTCAGAAACCCTCCTCTCCGCCGTCCTTCCTCATTCCTCCCCCTTTCCCGTTCCCCCACCCCCTCCGCCATCTCCTCTATCCCTTGTAACAGGAGCTCATTCGGCGGCTGACAGCCAAGGACCGAGCGGAGAAGTCGAGCAACTGTCCTACCCCGTCCCTCCCGCCATCCTGCCACGCTCCCCCCTCCCCTCTTCTCCCTCTGCCCTCTCTCACAGGAGCTCATTCGGCAACTAACTGCCAAGGACCGTGCGGAGAAGTCGAGCAACTTCAAGAGCCAGTTCCTCGCCAACATGAGGTGCGCCTGTCTGTGCTGTGCTGTGCTGCTTTGAAAGGCACACCTCTCAGTGGGGGGTTGTTAGCGCACGTTTGAGGCGCGTCGGAATTCGGTTCTGAAGCAGCTGGTTGAGGGAAGTGAGTGAGGGCAGAGAAGTCGAGCAACTTCAAGAGCCAGTTCCTCGCCAACATGAGGTGCGCGCGAGAGAGCAGTGGTCGTGGATCAGTAAGGAGAGGAGGGGAAGACGAGAGTGAGCAGGATAGAAAGGGCAGGGGTGCGAGGGCAGAGGAGAGCTAAACGCAGTGACAGGACGAGGGGAGGGAGGAGGAAGGGGAGAATGTTTGAGTGGTTGGAGGTAGCCAGTGAAAAAATGCTACAGTAGAGACTTGAGAAAAAGTCCCTTCTAGAGCAAACACGCAAGGGATTTTAGATTCATGTCACCGCTCTCTCGCTCTATGCTGTCCCCCCTGCTTCTGAGAATTTCCAAGACTAGTGCCCTACACTACACACACCCTTCCTTCCTCATGCACCCTGCCTTCTCCTTCTCACACTTCCGCCTTCCCATCTGTACACCCAACCAACCCTCACCAACACTCCAACACTCCGCCAACTCCCCAACACATCACAGCCACGAGTTGCGCACGCCCATAGCGGGCATCATCGGGCTGTTGGACCTGCTGTCATGCGAGGCCCTGTCAGAGGAGCAGGAGGTCATGGTGGCTCAGATCCGCCGCTGTGCCGGGGGGCTGCTGGCGCTCGTCAACAACGTGCTGGACATCAGCCATGTGAGAGAAATGAATGAAGGGGGAAGGTGTGGGTGTGCGGTGGGAGAGGGGTAGGGGCTGCTGGCACTCGTGGCATGTGGCGTGGACTGCACTGCAAGCCTGACCCAAACCTCACCCTGCAGACACACTGCCCCCACACCCACCCGCCCCCTTCGTGCCTGTTTCCAAGTGTTCCTCTTCCTGAGGCGCCGCGAAGCACACCCCACTCCTACCCCCCCACTCACCACCCTCCCCATCCCAACCCCTCTTCTTTCCTGGTTTGTCCTGAATATGTCTTTCGTGCCCCACTTTTTGTTCTCTCTGTCGTGTGCAGGTGGAGTCGGGGGTGTTGGAGCTGGCAGTGGCGCCGTTCCACATACTGGAGGAGCTAGAGGCGCTCGTGGATCTCTTCTCAGTGCACTGCATCCCCCACGACATTGACATCGCTCTAGACGTCTCCGGTGCGTGCTCTCCCGTGCCGTGCCACTGATTGGGTTTTCCAACATTTTGATTCACAGAACCAACCAGCTCACTTCCACCCATCCCCCCCTCCCCTCGCCCCCCGAACAACTTACCCCCTGGTGGGTGGTCTTTGAGAATCAGTCATCCCTCTCGCAGCCACCACTTCCCCTCGCCCCTCATATCTCCCCTGTTGGAATGTTTTTTTTAAGAATTCTCTAAAACCAGCTCGCCCCTCATATCTCCCCCGTTGCATCCCGTTCTCGTTCCCCTCTCCTCCCCCTCCTCCCCCTCCCCCCCCCTCCTCCCCACCCTCCGGCTACTGTCTGTCTCCCCTCCTCCGCCCTGCCTTCCCTCTACCCCTCTCTTCCTTCCGCCTGCCCCAGACGACTTCCCCCTGGTGGTAATAGGCGATGCAGGGCGGTTCCGGCAGGTGCTGACGAACCTGCTGGCGAATTCAGTGAAGTTCACAGTGAAGGGGCACATTGTGGTGCGCGCATGGGTGGAGAGCAAGCAGGTGTGTTCCCGAGAGTCGACTCAAAGCACATATTTGAGTGTGCGTGGGTGGGTGGGGAGCAAGTGGGCTCGTGCGCATGTGCATTTCTGTGTGAGCAGATAGTCTCTGCTGACTGATGAGTGCTGTGCGAGAGGGACTGAGAGGGGGCGCGTGAGAACAGTGAGAGACCCCCGATCCATCTGCCTTATCTCCTCCCTCCCACTCCGAACCTCCACTCCCTCTCTTTCTCCACTCCCTCCCCATTCCCCCCTACTCTCCCGACTCTTCCCTCTCCCCCACTCCCCCTCTTTCCCCCAGCCGCTAGCAGAGGACCCTCTGTCCTTCTTTGGTATAGGAGCCGCCCTCCCCTTCACCACCACCCACTCCTCCTCCACCACAGCCTCTCTCCCAGGCAACCGCCACTCCGCCGCCTCCTCTGCTGCTGCAGCCGCCGCAGCAGCCCCCCGCACACACCACTCCAGCACCTTCCTCCGGCCCTCCATGTCCACAACTCCGAGCCTCCTCAACGGCCCTCCGCTCGTCCCCATGTCTGCGCTTGCTGGTCCTCTCACTAGCAGACGGACTGAGTCTGGGGTAGGGTATAGCTGGTCCAGTCTCCAGGTCTCGTCTAGTGGACGGCCGTGGGGGGCAATGGGAGGGAGCGGCGGCGCGCGGGGGGGCGGAGGCGGGAGGAGGAGAAGCATGGCTGGTTCAGTGAGCGGGTTTAAACTGGAAGCTGGAGGGATGGGTCCGGGGGTGGGGGCGGGAGGCGGTGCAGTGGAGGTGGAGGAGGAGGAGGTGGTGTTGGTATTTGAAGTGGACGATACAGGGTGTGGGATTCCCGTAGACAAGAGAGAGCAGGTGTTTGGGAGCTTTGTTCAGGTTGATGCGTCGTCCACACGCACGCATGGAGGGTCCGGCCTGGGGTTGTATATTGTGCGCGGGTTGGTGGAGCTGATGGGAGGGGGGATTGCGGTGGGGGATAAGGACGAGCAGGGGACGCTGATGCGGTTCCATATCCGGTTGAAGATCCCCCCGCCCCCCCCGCCTGCACCGCCGCTGCTGCAGCTGCCGCTGCCTGGACTTGGGGGGCCTGCTAGGTGCGTGTGGGGAAGGGGGAGGGGGAGTTGGACGCGGAAGGGGAGGGGGAAGGGTGGGAGAAGGGAAGGGGAAACAGGGAATGGGAAGGGGAAGAGGGACGGGGAGGAGAAGGGGAAGGGAAAGGGAGGGGGAGGGGGAGGGGGAGGGGGAGGGGGAGGGGAAGGGAAAAGAGAAGGGAGGGTCTGCGTCTTTCTCTTCTAAACAATATTATTGTCTACTTTGTTCCCTGCGTATCTATTCTTCGTTCACCCCCATACTCCCATCCCCTTCCCATCCTGTCCCCTCACAACCTCTGCTCTCCTTCCCATTACCTCGCCTTTATAGTCATCCCTCGCCTTTATAGCCATCCCTTGCCCTCTCTGTGCCTCGCACACACTTTCAATCTCCCTGCCCACCGCGCCCTTCCGCATACCAACACCTTTCCTCCTCAACTTCCACTCTCTCCCCCACTTCTCCCCCCTCTTCTCTCTGCCCCTCTCATAGGTATGGCTCTGGCATTCCGTTGATCCAAGACACGGACTCAGCCAGTGTGACGTCAGGCCCTGAGGGGGGGGTAATGGCTGTGGCCTCCGCTCCCCCTGCTGCCGATGCTGCAACCGGCGGGGAGAGCGGCGGAGGAGGAGGAGAGGGGGCGGGAGCGGGAGTGGGAGCGGGAGGGGAGGAGGGAGAGGCGGAGAGTCCATCTGATTGGGGTGCTGGCGGTATGGGGGGCAGTGGGCCAGGTCGTTCCTCCTCCACCATAGGAGGCAGCTCTGCCGTTTCGGGACTTAGTGGTTTACGCGCTTTTCTCGGCATGTCTGGCACTCTTGCTCCCGGTAGCAACGACCTGGGTGCTGCTTGGACCGGGTTGAATCGAGCCGGGTCAGGAATGGCAGTAGCCGGAGGGGTGGGAGGAGGAGGCGGAGGAGGAGGAGGAGGAGGAGGAGGAGCAGGGCAGCAGCTAAGCGTGCCTCTGCAGAGAGTCACCCACAGTTCGCTACTCGATGGGACGCAGGATTTGACCGGTGGAATCGGAGGAGCGGGGGCGGGAGGAGCGGGAGGAGCGGGGCAGGAGGCGGAGTGAGGCTGAAGTGGCATGTGCTACTAGCCATGTCGGAGTGCCCTGGGAAAGCCGTGGCCTCTTGCTGGTTCGAAGGGCAGGGACTTGCAGTAAAGCAAGTGCGGTCGTGGGATAGTATCTTCCCTAGCCTTAGCTACGTCCTGCATGCATCCGCAATGCCTGCTGTTGCCTCTGGGACTGGGAGTGGGAGCACCCGGTCGGGGCAGGGTGGGGCGGGTGGGCGTGGGAGCGTGAGTGCTGCTCCTTCTGCCAGTGCTAGTGCAGTGCAATCCCGGACTGCCACCCCTCGCGGCGTTGCCACTGCGGGCTCTGCAATCCCCTCTGCTGCTGGAACTGCCACAGGTGCTGCTGCTGCTCTGGCGTTCTCTCCTGCTGCTGCCACTGCCCCGGCGTTCCGGTCAACCTCTCCCCACTTGGCTGGGCCGGGGCTTAGTAGTAGTAGCACCGACTCTGCTCCTGCTGCCATTCGAACCGTCTCAGCAGACAGAGCAGGACGAGGAGGGGGAGGAGGAGGGGGAACGGGGGGAGTGGGAGGAGGAGGAGCGGGAGGTGTAGGGGCTGGGGCAGGGGTGGGCGGAGGGTCGACAAGGAGTGGTGGTGGTGGTGGTGTGGCAGGAACGGCGGGTGTGAGTGGACCGTCAGCAGCAGCACGGCTAGCAGGGGCTCAAGCCTTGCTGCAGGCTTCTCATGCAGGCATGTGTCTCTCCACAGCAGCCCTGAACTTGTAACCTCCCCAGCTGCTGTTGCCGCTGCTGCCGCTGCCACAGCCGCCGCTTCTGCTGCATCTGCTGCGGCTGCCGCAGCAGCCGCTGCAGTCGAGTCAGAAGCAGCAGCAGGGGAGGTGCAGAGACTCGGCAGCAGCAACAGCACCGGCGGCGGTGGTGACGGCGGCAGGAGTGGCAGTAGCGGGGGGAGGGGCAGGCTGGGAGGACTGGAGAGCTTCTGGCCGTCTTCTGTGCCTCGCTCCAGATCCATACACATAGGCTCAGAGGGGCTCACTGCCCTCTCCGCCTACTCCCCCAACTCCCTCTCTCCGGCTTCCACCACTGCTGACAGCAGCGGCGGCGGTGCCGGCGGCGGTGGTAGTACTGGTGCGCGTGTGGCAGGGTGCGAGCGCTGCGCTCGCTCTCCCCTCTCTCTGTCACTGTGCCGGACCCAAACGATGCTCTGCCGCTGGAGGAGCTCTCAGGGGGGAGTGCAAGGGAGGCCACGACAGGGACGGTATCGGCGCACTTTGCTGGTCTCTCCTCCGCTGCTGCTGCTTCTTCTGGTGCTCGCAATGGTGGGAGTGCTAGTTCCGCTGGTGGTGGTGGTGGGAGTGGGGGTGATGGGGGTGGGAGCGGGACCGGCGGGTTGTCTATGAAGTTACGTACGCGGAGTGGGAACCTTGAGATGGTGTCACGCTCCGCTGTTGCTGCTGGTGCTGCTTCTGCTGGTGGCGGCGGGGTGGGAGGTGGGGGAGGGGACGGCGGAGGGGTTGCAGGCGGCCGTTTGGCATCAGCAGGAGGAGGGGGAGGAGCAGGAGGAGCAGGAGGGGGTGCGAGAGGCGTTTTCTCTTCCTTCCTGTCTGCTAAACCGGAGCCAGTGATGAAAAAGAGCAGCAGCAGCGGCAGCACGGGCGGGGGGATGCTATCTGCTCGCATGGCGGCTGCAGCTGCCGCAGCAGCAGCGACAGGAACCGCCGCAGGAGCCACGGGCTCAGCAGGAACATCAGCAGCGGCAGCGGCAGCGGCAGCGGCAGCGGCAGCGGCAGTGGTGGAAGTGTCTTGTATAGCAGTGGTGGTAGACCTGATGCTGCTGCCTTCTGGGAAGCACCTATGCACAGCACCTGCGGACACCAGCGGCTTAGACCCTCTGGCTGTGGGTGCTTCCTCGGCAGGCATGCCTGCTCTCATACCTTCCTTCACTGGTAACTTTGACGGGTTTGAAGAGGGTTATGTGGAGGACGAGTGGGGGAGACCCGTGGGAGGAGGAGGCGGCGTGGGTTACGGGGGTGGTGCCGCTGGTGGGAACACTGCTGCTGCTGGTGCTGGTGGTGCTGGTGGTGGGAACCCACGGCAGGTTCCCCCAGAGGTTTCGAAGCTATGTGAGGAGATGAAGACGCTGCGAGGGAAGCGGTGCAAGGCAAACCAGAACCTGCTGGTGGTGTGGCTGCTGCCTCCCGGGGTGAACCCGGTTATCAGGAGGTTCCTGCAGCAGCAGCCGAATACAGTGCTGACTTCTCGACCGCTGCACTCGTCCCGCCTTCGCAATCTCCACACGGCGTTGATCCGCCTTGTTTCGTCGGCTTCTGGTGATGAGGGGACTACTGGACCAGGTGGTGCCGGCGGCATGGGCTTTGAGGTAGACGCGATCAGCGGCAGCAGCAACAAGAACAACGGCGGCAGCAACAGCAGCAACAATGCGACCAGCACCGGGACAGCGCATACTATCACCCTTAACAATAACAGCACCAGCAACGGAATCGGCAGCAGCATCAGTAGCATCTTCTCCTCCTCCTCCTCTACCACCGGTGGCCCTCCCCTCACCTCCTCTCTCTCCGATGTCACCTCGTTCACCCGCCTCGTCCCCAACTCGCACGCTTCCCTCGATTTCAGCATAGATTCATCGGCTCTCTCCAGCTCTGCAGCAGGAGTGGGAAACGTATCTGGAAGGTTATCCATTAACCGGCCTAGCTTGGGGAGTGTGTGGGAGTCGATTATTAACAGGGGGTTGCCGGGGGTGCCTGGGCCAGGAACAGGGGGTACTGGTGCATTTGGTGCAGCAGGGGGAGGAGCGGGAGGGGGAGTGGGGCCAGGGGGATTGCTGGGGAGGGAAGGGTCTGGGCCTGCTGCGTTCCGCTCACTCATCACATCTCCTGTTCAGTCCTCCTCAGGAGTCTCTGGTGCTACAAGTGCTGGTACCTCTGCTGGTAGTGCTGCTGCTGCTGCTGCTGCTGCTGCTGCTGGGGGCTTTGGGGTCTCTGCAGGGGTAGGCGCAGTGGCAAGCGCGGGGGCAGCAGGGGCTGGGGCGGGGGGGAGGAGGGCTGGGAGGAGGTCCACAGCAGGCGGAGCAGGAGCAGGGCGAGGGGGGCAGGGGATGGGGATGGGGGTGGGGGCGGGAGCAGGGCAGCACAGGCGGAGGAGTAGCTTTGACGCGGTGTTAACTCAGGGGCTGCTGGCCTCACCACCTGATAGTCACGCTGGAGATTCCACTGCCGCCGCCGCTGCTGCTGCTGCTGCCGCTGTAGGTGCTGGTAATGCAGGTGCAGGTGCTGGTGGTGGTGGTGGGGGTGGTCGAGGGGGCAGTCTGTTTGACGGTTCAACTGGTGGGCTGGCAGTGGGGCCGGGGGTAGGCATGTGGGGGCATTCGGCTGTCAACCGTAGTGCTCCCTCTGCTGCTACCACTAGGGCGTCTTTTGCTGGTGCTGCTGCTGCTGCTGGTGCTGGTGGTGCAGGTGTGGGTGCGGCAGGAGGCGGCAGGTGGAACCATGCCTCGAGTGCAGGCTCGGGGATGGGAGCAGGGCTGGGAACAGGCACGGGTATAGGCATGGGCATGGGTACAGGTATGGGCATGGGCATGGGGATGGGCATGGGGATCGGCATGGGCATGGGTGCGGGCATGGCAGCCCCATCCCATCTGCCTCCACTGCAGCGGTCTCGCTCAGAAATGCCGCGCATGGGGGGGCAGTTGGAATACTCCTCTGACCGGCCCCAGTCAGGCTCGAATGCTCCTCGCTCTGCTGCTGCTGCTGCTGCCTACGGCCTTGTGCCGCCAGACCCGCTTGCTTCTCTCACTCACTGGAGTGGCGGAGCTGCTGGTATGGGTGGTGCTGGTATTGCTGGTATGGGTGGTGCTGGTATTGGTGGTAACAATACTGGTTACCAGCGACAGCTGCTGCTCCAGCAACAGATGATGTACCAGCAGCAGCAGCTGCAGCAGCAGCAACAGCAGACGTTTGGGTTGGGATGGGGTGTAGGACCAGCAGCAGGGGCGTCTGGAGGAATGGGGAGCTTTGGAGCAGGCGGCATGGGCATGGGGGGCATGGGGGGCATGGGAACCATGGGGGGAATGGGGGGGATGGGTCGCAATAGGCTGCTGCCTCTCCCCACGCCTGCGCACCACTCGCCCTTGCACGTGTCTCGGAAGGGAGGGGGGGGACTCCGCCCCATGCACTCCCTACCTGCTGGGATTTCCCTGTCTGCTCTTACAGAGGGGGCGGGGGAGGGGGGAGCAGCAGCAGGTGGTGGGATCACTGGTGGTGGGGGAGGAGGAGGCATAGGAGGAGGAGGTGGAGGGGCAGGAGAAGCGAGAGGAGGAGGGAAGGGCGGCCGTGGGGCAGGTGGGTCGGTGGGGGGGAGAGGGGGGGATAACAGGAGAGGGCAAGGGAAGGTGGTGGAGGAGGGAGGGGTGCTGTTTCAGCAGCAGGAGCCAAGGCAGGAGCAGGAGGGGGGGCAGGATCAGGATCATTAGATGGATCATCTGTTGCCGCTCCCTCACTCTCTGCTGCTCCTGCTGCTTCTGATGGTGTATCCGATGCTTCCCCTCCTCACGTGCACCTCAGTTGCCCCTCCCTCTCCTTCTCCTCCCTCCACACCTCCTCACCATCCTTCTCCCCCATCTCTGACGCGCCTTCTTCTGCTGCTGCTGCTGCTTGTGCTAGTGGTGGTGGTGTTGCTGCTGCTGAGCCTCCTACCACTGGAACGGGTCTGTTTGGAACAGCAGCAGCAGCATCAACAGGGGAGGAGCAGGAGGAGCAGGAGCAGAAGGAGGAGGGGGATCGGCAGCAGGCTCTGGCCTACGAAGCCAGCGGTCTATCACGCTAGGCTCTGCTCCTGCTCCCCCTGCTCTCATCCTCTCCCCCACGCCCTCCCTCACCTCCCCCACGTTTGCCGACCCGCTCTCCCCCCAACTCGGATCCTCCTGGGCTCAACCCAGCGTCACACCCACCCCTCCCTCGCACACCCCCCCCTCCTGCTGCTGCCGCCGCTGCTCCGGAATCATCCAAACACCCACATTCCCCGCCCACCACCACCACCACTACTACTGCCGCTTCTGCTGCGGCAGACACCCTTCAAAAATCCCCAACCGTCCCCCCCATCACGCCGCAATCTGACGCTTTCCCTCCTGCCGGCACTCCTGCCTTGGATACCTCCCAAAAGTCCCCCATTCCCCCTTCGATTCCACGCAAGGGCAGTAAAAAGGATATTACTTCCCTTCTGTCGTCGCTGGGGAGCAGCAGCAGCAGCGGTGGCAGCAGCAGCAGCAGGAGCATGTCGCGGAAAGGCAGTGGGAAGGATGCGAGGGAGGGGGTGGGGAGGGCGGTCAGGGTGGGTGGAGCAGTGGGAGCAGCGGGAGCAGTGGGAGGAGTATGGTGAGGAAGGGGAGCGGAAGGGAGAGTCGGGAAGGAGGGGAGGATGGTGGGAATGAGGGTGCTGGAAGGAGCAGGTTTGGTATTGGTCGGAAGGGCAGTGCGAAGGATCTTCTGGGACTAGTGGGAGGCGGGAGGAGTAGCACCAAGGGCGAGCCTGCATCGTCTGCAGCAGCAGCAGCTGTGGCAGCATCATCGGCAGTGGTGCAAACACCACCGTCGACCTTGGCCTCTCCAGCAGGCTCCTTCACACCCACTGCAACTACCCCATCAGCAGGAGGCGGAGGAGCAGGAGGAGCAGGAGTAGAAAGCGCCACCACCACACCCACAACCAGCACCCCTACCACCACTGCAAGCACCACCACTCCGACCAGCAGCAGCAGCACACCGGGCAAACTCGACAAAGCACAACCTCTAGCCGGTTACCATGTGTTACTCGTGGAAGACACTGCTATTCTGCAGAAGCTGGCTCAGTCGCTGCTGAAGAAACTGGGAGCAGAGGTGATGGTGGTGGCTGATGGGCAACAGGCAGTCGATGCGGTTACCAGCAGCTGGATCGCTGAAGACGCCCGGCTGGCCGCTGCTGCTGCGAGTGGAGCGGGGAGAGGAGGTGGGGAGAGGGGGAGAGAGGGGAGGGGGATGGGGAGGGTAGGCGGCCGAGGAGCAGAGGCGGGTGGGATGGGAGTGGTGGGAGTGGTGGTGGGGGAGCAGATGTAGCGGGAGGAGGAGGGGAGCGCGTGGGGGGCCGAGGGGCGTGGGTAGGGCGGCAAGAGGAAGCAGTAGCGGTGGAGAGGCGTTCGATGTGGTGCTAATGGACTGTCAGGTATCCATGCCTTCCCCCCCTCGACCCCACTTCTTCGTCTTCTTTCCCTCCCACGATTCCCTGTGTGCACATGCCTCATCCAAATTACCGGGGAGCGCCACCCTCGCAAGGCGGCTGTTCGGTCCACTCGGGTTTCCGTCCCCTCAGCTTTTCTATGACATTCTATCCACAACTCTCCTCCTCCACCCTCTCTGCCTTCCCCTGCCATCGTTGTCATCACTGCCGCTGTTGCGGTTGGTGAGCTGCAGATGCCTGTAATGGATGGCTACAACACCGCCACTCTCGCACGATCCGGGCGGCAGAGGCCAGGAACGGGCGGCACACAATCATTTGTGCTCTCACAGCGCACGCACTAGCCAGGTGAGAAGACTTTTGAGACGCCTCCAAGGGACTCTCACAGCACACGCACTAGCCAGGTGAGAATCATGTTAGGAGAGACACGTGCCGGTGAGAGTCTTTTTTAGTGCACTTTCGTCCACTTTAGCACACAACACACAGACGGGCATGGTGGTCAAGCCTCGCTGCCTCTCACATCTATGCTCCTAGATCTTGCACGATCACTCTCGCTCCGGCCCCCCTTCCGTGGCCTTGTGTGAGAAACCTCAAACGAAAGTATGTGCTGCCTCTGCTTACTTCTCCCCATTTCCCTCTTCCTTTCCGCTCCCCCTCCCTCTCTGCCTCTTCCCACCTGCTCTCTCCGTTTCCCCTGCCGTGGTGAGCAGTGACGAGGCCAAGTGCAGGCAGTGCGGTATGGATGGGTACCTCACCAAGCCAATAAACATACGGTGCGTGCTTCCCTTGCTTGCACAGTGGACGGGGCATGGCATGGCATGTGGTGGCATGGCATGGGATTGCATGTGATTGCATGTGATGGCATGTGATGGCATGGCATGGCATGGAATGGCATTACATGACATCACATTTGAAAGCTTCACTTGTCCACATGGCATCCCATTCACACCCATCCTTTCTTTCTGTCACACCAGGCAACCATTCACACATTGGCCTTCCACTGCACCAATTCCTCCTCCCATCGCTCCTCCCATCCCTCCTTCCCCCCCGCTCTTCTCCCTCTCTCGCCCCTCCACCCCGTCCCTCCCCCGCCATTCTCAACCGGCTAGTGGAGACCATTCACAAGCACACCCGCAATAAGATCATTCTCACCTCCCATCCCTCCTCCCATCCCTCCTCCCATCCCTCCCCCATCCCTCCTCCATCCCTCCTCCCGTCCCTCCTCCCGTCCCTCCTCCGTCCTCGTCCCTCCTCCCATCCCTCCTCCCATCCCTCCTCCCATCCCTCCTCCCATCCCTCCTCCCATCCCTCCTCCCATCCCTCCTCCCATCCCTCCTCCCGTCCCTCCTCTTATCCCTCCTCCCATCCCTCCTCCCATCCCTCCTCCCATCCCTCCTCCCATCCCTCCTCCCCTCCCTCCTCCCCCTCTTCTCCCTGCCTCGCCCCTCCTCCCCCAGGCTGTTAGTGGAGACCATTCACAAGCTCACCCGCAAGAAAAGCATTCTTGCACGCCCACCCTCCTCGGGGGGAGGAGGAGGAGGCGCACAGTAGAACATGCCACGCATGATGACCAAGCATGTACGGTACCATGTTGCAAGAGGCTCCCGTGACTGGTTCACACGTCGCACACAATCATGGTTCAGAGATCGTCAGAATCAAAAGAATGACTCTATTAGGGAGCAGGGTTGAGCAAGGCAGGGAAGGGCGCCATGTTGAGTCGACTCAAGAGTCACCTCGTGCAATAAAAGGCTGTTGGTGACTTAGAGGCAGCCTTAAAACTTGTGCAGTGTTGTTAGGCCTTGCATATTCCGAGTGGCTATAAGAGGCGACCTGTTTGGTACTAGCTTCTTCCCTGCTTAGTTTCTCAGGGAATGCCAGTAAACACATGCTGAGGTGCCTGCAAACACATGCTGCTGACTGAATAAAAACCTCGTCCATTACCGTATTTCCAACCCTAAACCCTAGACCTCAGAAGCCTTGAGGAAGTATGGTACCGTAACGCCAAATGTTCAGTCCGTGATACACTGGTGGTGCCTGCTTATCTCCCCTCCTCTCCTCTGTCTGGTGGTGCATATTCCCAGTATTGGTGTGCGGTAGTGTCGCTGATACGGTACGGTAATATACCGTAGCTGTTGGGGCTCTGCTTTTTGCTCCATGGCCTGAAAATGTTCACGGGGAAATGTCAGGCTGACAGTGAGCCTGCTTTGACGCTTGGAACAAAGACTTGGGCAACGTACCAAAATGACAAACAAAACAATGATACATCTATCCTCAGAAACACACACCACCACGCTTGGAGCCCTTGGGGGCCCTGGACTCTGGAAATATACAGGTGGGTGGAGAAGGGCTATAGATCAAACTGGTGCGTGTTTTGCTCGCACTTGGCGGCACTAACATGAGCTGAGCTGTTCTGTTGCCTTGCAGCAGCAGACATTATTCACTCCCCATCACAGGTGACAGACCTGTCTCAACTGCTCACGCACGTGTGGTGCGTGCACGGTTGTCTTTTCACACCGAAGCCGTCAGCTGCAAGTCACCTGTTCCACAATGAACACATGCCGTACCCAGCAGCACATCTGGGTAAAGAGTCTCCACCACCCTTGGTTGAGGGTTGAGGGTTGAGACGACTAGTAACTATTTCAGGCCTCTCAGCCTTACACAGGAGTCAAATGTCACCCGGAAAATTGCCTCCCGCACTCAGAGGCCATCCCACGAGTCTGCTTTCAGCACACCCCCCCAGGAGATCACTTCCCACGCTCCTCAACAGTCCTCAAAAGCCTATTTGCGCTCCGCACTCGGATGTCGTCCCACGAGTCCCACTCCAGAGCATCCCATCCCCTCGCAAGATCACGGTTGAGGTGCCTTAAAAGTCCTCGAAACCCCAACTCGCCCTCAACACTCAGATGTCGTCCCACGAGTCTGCCTCCAGCACATCCCCCCAGGAGATCTCCGGGCCCTCTCGCGCAAACACCTGCTGCGACTCCGCCTCAGGTTCTCCCTCCTGCAGCAGCAGCCGTGCAGGGTATGTGTCCATGGGGGTGGTGGTTAGTCCGAACTGGCTTTCCATGACAGAGGACTCCCCGTGCGTGTGTGCGTCGAGGGATATGCTCTGGAAGGGGAAGATGGGGATGAGATCGGTGGTGGTGATGGTGGTAGCGGTGGGAGCAGGAGGGGCAGGGGGAGGGGCAGGAGGAGGGGCAGGAGGAGGAAGAGGAGGAGGAAAAGGAGGAGAGGGAGCAGGGGCAGGGGGAGGAGCAGCGGAGGTGTTGGGTGGAAGGATTTGCGAGGCAGTGGCAAGGGGGGGAACAGCAGCAGGTGCAACAGCAACTGGAGCAGCAGTGGGAGCACCCCAAAAGTTTGCTGGCATCTGTAGCCGCGTGCAGAGAGGGAAGGGGGAGCGGGGCTCGTTGACAGCACTCTGATGAAACGGCGAATGGGCTGTTGCCAGGTGGCACGGCGGGAGAGGCTCGGAGGAGGTGAGAGAGAGGAGTGCGGGATGGGAAGGAGGCGTAGGAGCAGCGGTTTGGTGTGGTCTAGAGGGTACCGAGCGAGGGGTAGAATAGGAGGGTTGGGAAGAGGAGGGGGCAGTGTGAGAGAGAGAAGAAGCTGCGGTTGCAGAACTTGCATGGTGGCTTGATTGTTGGGGGGTCTTGAAAGCTCCAGCACTGGAGCCACTGATATGCTGCTGCTCCATTGCTGCCCTTACCGAGAGTAAACCCGGTGATGCTATGCGTGCTTGGGGTTGGGGTGGTGGTAGCAGTGGCGGAGGTGGTGGTAACAGCAGTGCTGGTGATGCTTTCGGTTCGCCTAGGCCTGCTACTCCTGATTCTGCTTCTTGTCCTCGTGCCTGTCCTTCTCCTTGTGCTGCTGCTTCTCGTTGTGGTTCTGGCATCTGCTGCTGCCAACACAGCATCGCCCGTCCCATTTCTCCCCCTGCCACTGCTTGCAGCTGTGTCTGTCGTTGCTCTTCTCGTTGCTGCTTAGTCTGCTCTTGCTCCTTCTCCTGCTCTGGCTCCTGCTGCTCCTGCCGATCCTGCAAGAGTCGTATCTTCTCATGCTGCTTCCGTGCAGGATTCCACAGGTCCCGAGGGAGAGAGAGCAAGTGCGGACCAGCAGAATTGTCAAAATTCCCACCAGAGCCGCTACCAAGGCGGCGGCTGCCTAGACTGCTCCCGTTCTCCACGGGTCTTGGGTAAGGGACCAAGAAGAGAGGTGCTTTTCCAGCCGCCACTGCTCTTCCTACAGCTTCTAAGGTAGCGCCTTCAGGATTCTCTGCAACACCTGCTCCCGCTCCTGCTGCTGCCGCTGCTTCTGCTGCCCCTGCTGCTGCTGCTGCTGCTGCTGCTGCTGCTGGCGCTGCTGCTGCTGCTGCTGCTGCCGCTGATGCCACAGATACTGCTGACGAGCGGACATGCAGAGGCTTCGCTTGGGTTTCAGAGACAGTCAGGGGGCGCGGGGAAGGTCTAGGAGCAGAAGGTAAAGGAGCAAAGGATGATGCAGAGTCAACTACTGAAGCGGATGAGAAGGGGGATGGCGAGCGAAACGCGCGAGGGATTTGGGGAGAGAGAGGAGACGGTCTGAAGGCTCGCAGCGCGAAGGAGGGGATGGTGAGGAGGCGAGGCCTCATGTGCTGTGGGAAGAGCAGCTCGCAGCGAGCGTGCAGCCCTTGACACCGCACGTGCTGCTGCCCTTCGCATCCCCCACGAGGCGATGCCGCCATGACAGCACCACCCCCACACCATGACATGCCACTGCTGCCACCGCCACCGTCACCACCACCACCACTGCCGTTTGCACTCCTCTCTGTTGTTTGTGCTGCTGCCCTTTCGACACAGGACTCCACCCCGCCACATGCAGAGCTCCAACTGTTCATGCTCGGTCCTCCCATGCTCGCCCCTCCCATGCTCCAAGCAGCAATCAGCCCATCACCTCCCAGCAGCCCAGCCCCCGGCTCCCTTCCACCGTCGCTGCAGCTATCGTCCCACGACTTGCCCTCGCTGGCAGTCATCGGCACAGAAAGGAACCGAGGCGGGGCAAAGCAGGGTCGGGAGTACGAACCTCGCGCGGGGGTTGGCCGGGTTATAGGTACGGTGAATCCCGAGAGCGCGTGTCGAGCAGCATGGGGGGCGTGCCACTGGGGAATGCAGCCGCTGCTTGCTGGGCTTAGAGTGGGTGTCAGTGTGGGTGTCAACATGGGTGTCAATGTAGGTGTCAATGTAGGTGTCAATGCGGGTGTCAGTGTGGGTGTCAATGTGGGCCTCCCTACGAGTGGCAAAGTGGGTTGACCTGTGAATGGCAGCTCATGCACTCCAAGTGCAGAGGTAGATGGAGTGGGACCACCACCCACAACCGCTGCTGCTGCTCCTGCTGCTGCTGCTGCTCCTGCTGCTGCTGCTGCTGCTGCTGCTGCTGCTGCTGCTGCTGCTGCTGCTGCTGCTGCTGCTGCTGCTGCTGCAATCGCTGTATCCTCTGCCGTTCCTGAGGCTGCTGGTACCGAAGCTGCTGTTCCCGGGGCTGCTGTTCCCAAGGCTGCTGGTAACGAGGATGCTGGTAACGAGGATGCTGGTAACGAGGATGCTGGTAACGAGGATGCTGGTAACGAGGCTACTGGTACCGAGGTTGCAGTTGCAAGCAGTGGCAGTGACAAACCAGCTGATCCCTGCTCCCAACCAGCCGCACCCACTTCTGGAGGTGGAACGGCAGCAGGAACTGGAACAGGGGTTGAACTTGGGGTGTCATTTCCTCTATGCCGGGGAAATGATGCGGCCGCAGAGATTCTGCTGCCGCTGCCACTCATGCAGCCGTCGTCACTGGAACTCGGACTAGCACCCCCACTCCCACTATCACTCTCCTCGCTCACCCTTATTGCTCTCCCCCTTCCCCTCCCCCTACCTCTCCCTCTCCCTCTCCCTTTTCGCCCACTCCCCCGCCCACCCTTCCCCGCCCGACCCACCTCTTCTCCATCCCTCCCCACTCCTCCTCCACCTCCTCCTCCTGCCCCTCCCCTCGCCTCCCCCTCCCTCGCATCCCCACCACCCACAATTTCCAAGTTACACTTGGCACGAGGTCCATGGAACACCCGGGCAGCATGGTCATACGCACGAGCTGCCTCCTCCGCCGTGTCAAACGATCCCAGCCACACGCGCTTGCGGTGCCGAGGCTCTTTAATCTCCGCCACCCACTTCCCCCACTGCCGCTGCCGCACGCCCCGGAACGAGTGCCGGCTGTTCTCCGGCCCCCCCTGCGCGCCTTTGATCCGCGGCTTGCGTGGAGGTGGCGGTGGTGGTGGTGGTTGCGGTACCTGTAAAGCTGGGGCTGGAGCTGCACCCAACGGCTTTTCAGCTTCCTCCACTTGGGTGTTTCTCTCGCCGGGTGCTGCTGCTGCCGCTTCTCCTTCTCCAGCTAGTGCTGCTGCCGCGTGCTCGGATGTGCAAACTGCAACGGCCATCCGAGAACCAGACGCCGAGCACCGAATGAGACCATCAACTCCTCCGCGCAAGCTTGGAACGCTAACTTCACGTTCGTCCTCCTCATCATGCCCCTCTTGCTCCTCCGCCACCCTCCTTGACTCCGCCTTTCCCCGCTGCACCTCCTTCCCCCCCTGCCGACCCTGCTCCTCCCCCGCTTCCCGCCCGTGCCGTCCGCACCGCGGAGAGTCGTCAACTGCAGCAGCAGCCCCCGCCTCTGCACACCCCTTCCCACACCTCGGGGAGCACATTCTCTCTGACGAGTCGACGCCACCACTTGTCGCCCGGCTTCGCTTGCACCGCCGCCCCCCACTGCACTCACTGCTGTCACTGCTCTCGCTGCCACTCGTCTCGTCGTGGGACATGGCCGCTTGCGAGGCATTGTGTGTGGCAACAGTTGTGTCGGCGTCGGTGATAGCAGCAGTGGTGGTGGCGGCTTCGGTAGTAGCAGCAGCAGAGGTGGTGGCGGTGATAGCAGCAACGGGAAGAGTACCTTCCTTTAGGGGAACTGGGATCGGGGGATGGGGGAGAGCAGCAGTGATGGTGACGGCGTTGGTAGTAGGAGCAGCAATGGTGGCGGTGGTGGTGATAGCAGCAGTGGTGACGGCGGTGGTAGCAGCGGCGGAGAGAGGAACCCTTTCCAGAGGAACCGGGGCAGGGGGACAGGAGAGAGCATGATAAGGAGTGAGGCAAGGACAACGGGAAGCCTCGAAGGCGACGTTTCTCGCGTTGCCGCCGCCACCGCTGCCGCCGTCACCGCCGCCACCGCTGCCACCGCTACCGCCGCCGCCGCCGTTACCGTCGTATTCGCGACCGCTGCCGGCCCGTTCACCACCGTGAACACCAGCTGGGGGCGTGTTATTGGGAGCGCTGATAACATTAGTAGTAGTTGTAACGCCAGCTTGGATGATTGTATCAGTCGTCGTGGTGGCGTTGGTACCTTGCAGCTCGGCTGGCTGCCTCAGAACAGCTCCCTGCTGCTGCTGCTGATGATGTTGGTGATAATTCTGTCGCTTCATAAGAGGATCTTGAAAAACACGCCCCTCCTCTCCCTCCTTGCTCGTCTCCGCCTCCTCCGCCGCCTCCTCCTCCGCCCCCTCCGCACCGTCCTCGTCCCTCTCATCCGCCTTCTCACCCGCCCCTCCCTCTTCTCTCCGACCAACAAAACCCGAGTCGGAATCACAATATCCGTCACCCCCTTCCGCGTCATCATCTTCCGCCGCGCTGCGACCACCATATCGGACCCGGAAATGCCGTCGCAGCCGCGCGCGCTCCGCCTCAGCCGCCGCGTCAATCTGCACGAGTACAAGCTTCTCCGAGCCCTCCTCCCCGGCTCCTACGGCCGGAGACGGCGGCCCGCCCTCTCTCCGCTTCCGAAGCGTCTGCTGCCGCGCTGGCGGTTCTGAATCGCCGTCTACTACTCCCTTGGAGGGACAGTTCCGTCGGCGATGGGGACCTTCGGAGGTAGAGAGTCTCAACACGTTCGGTGTTGACCGACCTCCTCGCGGAGACTCCTCCGGCGACTCGGAGTTCCGGCGCTGCGGCCGGCGGTCGTCAAGACGGTCTTGATCTCGACGGCTAGAAGTGTCACGGTGTCTGCTTTGTCGGCTGCTGCTGCTGCTGCTGCTGCTTGTGCGGATCACACGTTCTGTTTGTCATCGTTCGCTCGAATCGAAATGTATTCTTGACGGTAGTTCTTGAACTTTGGAAGATACACGTTCTCGATACGAAGCTTTTACGAGCTTTACATTCCGGAGTGTGCAATAGTCTCAGACTTTTTTAAGCACGCGGCCGGACTAAAATGTTTCGCTCTGTCGACATACGACGCGCTGAGCTAACAATTAACATAATTAAGAGACGCCAACTTGGAGTAGTATTAATAACAGACTACCAACAGAGCCGCAATGGCTTCTATCAGGAGGACTTGAAGTTAAATCGACATACGCCACGTAGTAAGAAACGCTCCAAGCAGTATTGTGAAACCCATTGGCAAAGGAGGCTGATGTCTGCTTCAGAGCTAGGCGCTTGGTGTGCTACCAACGGCTCGAATCGGGACCATACTCAATTCCGTCCATGCGTTGGTTAAAAAAAAAAAGTCAAGATCGGCCTTCGCCGGGAAAGGAAGTGGTTGTTGGTGCATAGGAAAATTTGAGGGACTTCAAACAGGCTATGGATTGGTCGAGGAACATCATCCTGAAAGGGGTTAGGTGGATCGGAGGGACATCCACACAAAAGGTACCTAATCCTGCTTGGCAGAACTGGAGTCTGCCTTCAGGGACCGCCAACCATGGAGAAAAGGATTGGTGTGGAGGGAAGAGAAAAGGATTGAGTTGGGAGAGGAAGGACACGGGGGAAGGATAGGGAGGGTGTGGTGGAAACGGCATTTGATCCGCTGAGAGACCAATGCAGCAGCGCGCTCCGTCTCGGCGAATGCGGGGTTCCGTTCTGATATGCCCGCGAAAAAGCGCACCAAAAAGTGCATGGCAGTGACCGCGATTTCGGCAGAAGATATCGACGTGGCCGAGCGGCTGCCAAGATAAAAAGAAAGATATTTTTCAGACAACGCTTTTTTGCCACGCTGGATTGCTTTTGCCTTGCTGAGCATCGTAGCTCCGATTCGCGTGCGAAAAGTGCGTCGGAAAAGCACATCCGCAAGGTTTGTGGGGGTGGAATTGATCGCGTTGTTTGTGATCCACAGACAACGTCTGAATCGGTCTCGCAAAAAGGTCACTGGGGCAAAAAGTTGGAGCCACAGTGGGGCTGCCCAAACGTATGCATGCAGCCGGAGGAAAGCATTTCGGTTGCCCGCACACATCCATCCCAAAATACTGTATACACCAGCCCTCCCCCACCCTCCCTCTCTCCCCTTCGTGTACTGTACTTCCACCTACACAGGGAAAACACGTAAACCGACCACCCCTTTTCACGTAGTATTCCCTTCGCCCACCCCTTACATTTCCACCCACAGCCCCTCACCGATTCGAGAACATCCGCATCCCCCATCACTTACCAGCCTCTGCCCTTCTGAGAGGCAAGTTTCGACTGGTTCCGTTCAATATCGCAAAACACGTCGAGGTCTATCGCAATTGCTAAGTGATTAAGAAGGTGCCTACTCGCCCAGTTAATGCTTAGGCTAATTTGAGTGGTTCTCGGATAAAACGAGAGCCTTGGTCAATGGCTGGCACGAAGGAAACTGCAAGGGATAGGGAGGATGCGGTGGAGATTGGCTTACACATAATGCGCTACGCAGATACACTATCGACAATAGAATTTTGAGGTATCAAACCACAGAAGATTTAGGATTTGAATTGTTCATTACATGTTTGATCCTAACGTCAAGCTATTTGGGTGATAAAATGAAAATTTAAGTCACCTCAGCAGGTTATTATGGGAAAATAGGTATACCCTTTACACATGTTTCCAATGGATAACACAAAATATTCAAATAATGCTGAAATAAATAAAGTTTTTGTCAAAATATTGAAGCTTCTTAAAATAAAAAATACATGACATTCATTCAATGATAGATTTTTCAATAATCCATTGAAATCTGACATATAAAAATATGAAGAATATAATTTTGCCTTTAGACTTGCTAATTAATACATTTTTTAAGATATATTTATAACCCCTTTTATTTATGCTTCCTTCCTCCTCATCCTGCTCACCCGCCTAACCTTACTACAATGTTCTATTACTGTATCAATAGAATAGATACCAATCTGTTTAAACCAATGAATTATAAAACTCCATCGTGCATTATTTTCCAGGGACAATTTTCTGACACATGATGGTGTAATAAATTACCAATATCGCGTATGGATAGAAAGAGGAAAAGGGAAAGAGGGAGAAGGAAAAGGGAAAGAAAGACACCAGAAACAACTCAAACGCAACACCCATAAAAAGCCCCATAAAAATACTCCATAAAGAAAAAAAACCCAACCAGGATCCCCTACCAGACGTCCCATCTCGCACCCCATTCCCCTTCGCCCCCCCCTCCCTCCCCCCCAAGTCACATCTGCACATCCACCATGTAGGGGGCCTCCACCCAAAGAGGCCCGCCCTCCACCTCGACATCGTCCCTCTCCCGATCCACCAAGTCCACATTCAACCCCCCCATGGAAGACGCCGCCCGAAGCAGGATGACACGAGCTTGCGCCCGTTGTAACGCCACTCCGATGAGCGCCTTCAGAGACCCCAAAAGGTAAGCCGAGAACGAAGTGTCATCCCTTTAAGATATATGTATAACCCCTTTTATTTATGCTTCCTTCCTCCTCATCCTGCTCACCCGCCTAACCTTACTATAATGTTCTATTACTGTATCAATAGAATAGATACCAATCTGTTTAAACCAATGAATTGTAAAAATCCATCGTGCATTATTTTCCAGGGACAATTTTCTGGTGAGTTATTGTCCCTGAACACTTATGATTCTGGGACTGTATTGCAGATGATAGTGCCATCAATTCATCTACGACTAAATCCCTATCCGGAAAGGAAGCGACCTGTAGTCTACATTTCGTGTATCCTGGAGTGTTTGATCCGCCTGCGACAAAATACTCCACAGAATTAATCACAGCGTGTACTGTGCTTCGGGCGGGGAGATTGGTGGCAGAGCAAAGCACGTAAACATGGGAAAATATTTTAGGTTCACCAACGTGTATTCGCCACGTCGACCAGCTTTGGTCCATCCACGAATAGCATATGACGTCCTTGCAAAAAGTGCAGCCAAAAAGGGCGGTGCTCGGTGAATTGGAGGGTTGAATGAATCCCATTCCGTTTTCTTACTGGAGAGGGATCAACAATCAAGGTCAGCTTTCCGTCTCGAGGAAGCCAACCAGGCGTGGAACCGAATGCTGCCCGCCGCATGATTCTGTGTGGTTGAGAGCAATGTCCGAAGCGAGCTTTTAACGCGGAAAAGTTAGCCGTGGAAGCGAGGCTGCACTAGAACAAAACCAAACTTACACAGAATTCTTAGCATGACGCATAACAATTGAATTATTTGGAGCATTAGGCTAAATGCAAATGTGCGTCAAAGCAATGTAACGCCAGGAATGCCAGAAACCTGAAGATTTCACTCACTGCTCCACTCCATACGGGCTTGCTTGCCACATTGCACAGAATCATCATGTGCTGGTACCGGTATCTGTGAGGTAATCAAAACTCAAACCCATGACATGAAACACACTCATCATCAACCACCGTGCCCCTTCACTTCGCCTGCTTGTGCTGCCTCTCCCTCTCCACAGCC